TAGAAATAAATCAAAAGTATGAAATATTAATGTTACTATGTAAAAAGCACAAACCCACACAGCAATGCTCTTGGCATAAGCATACCAACTTCATGCAACGGTTACATCCTAATCACTGTTGCAAGAATTTCTAGATTTCTACTATTGTTTCTTTCTGTTGTATCTAATCTCCCAAAGCTCAACATCTTGCCCTCTCTCGTACTCCTTTACATACTGAGGAATTTGTGTAAGACCAATGCATTTACCCACAAAACAAGGAGATCCTCCATATTGGAAGCGTTCGTGTTCTGCATGATAGCATTCAAATCCCAAAGCCATTAGCTTGACAGTAGAAATATGATAACCTACTTGCATAGCCATTAGCATGCTTACCTCCTTCCAGCCTCAAGTAACCTCCGAAACGTGAATAGCCATTAGCAACAACATCAAGATCAACAAGACTGAAGTTGTACCGCTTCTCCAATGTCAAGTACAACACCTGAAACACAGAGGAAAGAAACTGATACTTGCATTATTGCAATTGTTGAAAGGAGCTATAATTTTAAATGATTTGTTCTGATAGACTTTATGTGATGGGGAGAAGGTAAACAACTAGATGACATTCACATTGGATATGCTGCCTTTTGAGCAGCAAATGAGTGCACTTAACTGTTGGAACTCCTATGTGCTTTTGAACCTCTAGTTCACATTCTGCTCGTAAACTTTTGAGAAAACTTAAGCTCCACTAAGTTTCATTTGAGTAATATAAGCAAATCAATATCCAAAATCTCACAAATATTAGAAAAGACTCAAATAAACTCTTTTTCTAATTATCATATCCTAATCCAAATTAAAACAATCACAATAATGCATGCATACATCATGACATATCAAAAAACAGGCCTATCAGCATAGCAATGCATTATCTAAATTCACAATAGTCAAGTTCATAGCTAGCAAGTCACGTTGCGCCAAGCATACTACATGTGACTGAACCTGACTTGCTTTTAAAAGCAAACTCTTTCTAATGCTTTATATGTATTATATAAAAAAACCTTGAGCTGTCTGTGAATAGGTTGGCTAATTTTAAGATCTTCACTTCTCTAAAATCAACAAGACAGTTAAATTTTTAACATTATCTTGCACATGTAATAGGAAAAAACCAGTTATTCTAGCTTTTGCCGCAAGCAATGCCATCTTGTAGCCAACTAAGTAAACTGAGAAATACATTAATCAATGAGATATAATAACCTAATTAAACAACCAGAGAAGCCAACATTTTAGTTCACTTTTCAAGAAAGAGAAGGAACAGTTTGGTTCTTGATGAGTGTAGGAATCCGACCTGTAGAAGTCATCTAGCCAAACAAATTGGTATCTTCAGGAAACTCTTCTAATAAGATACAATCATTGTCGACGTGCATATACGACTGATTTGTATTTAGTTTCACACTCAAATTCTCTCTAGTTTTTTCCTATTTATATCTACCTGTTGTAAATTAAATATATTATGAATAAAATTCAATTACAAA